CTTTGAAGACGGAGGAATGGCCATGAGCCAAGGAAGGCAGGTGGGGAGAATACAAACTCAAATAGGAAGGGAAACAGAATTCCACCTGAGTCTCGAGAAAAAAAACCCTGCTCTGCAGACATCTTGATATTAGCCCATGAGACTCATTTTGGGCTTCTGACATGCAGAACTGTAAAGGCAAATATTTGTTTGTTTTAATCAGCTAGTATGGGAATATTTTACAGCAACAATAGAGTCTAATAAAGATATTTATTCAATAAAATTTGCTGAGGAATTCAGGTAAAGCTTCTCCATTCATTCAGTAGCTTCCCCTGGGTAAAGGCATTTTACTCTGAAAACCCACATGAAGTAGAAAAACTTTTTAAATCAAGTTCCACCACTTTACCTTTTACAGTGAAGTCCTCATTGCATAAATGTAAACTTGCTCTGACTACGATGCCTTTGTGGCCTTAAGATTTAAGGTACATTGGTGGCCTTACTTTTTCCATCGCCAACGTGTTTTGTTTTCAGCAATGTATACTCTTTGCCTAGAAGTCATTCAATCCTCAATTTATACTTCCCAGTGCAGACAGAATTTCTCATTAAAAATATATACGACAATGACTACCAAGGGGAAAGACTGAGAGTGTGGGATAGGAATCCCCACTACCTGTTCCAATAGAGAAAGTAAACAAGTTCAAATTCAAAATATATGCAGCGCCCCCAGTAATGAAATAATTCAAAGTAAAACTATTTAGTATTCCTCTTTAAACTTACTAAATAATTTTTTCATGTGAATATTCAGCGTGAGAGAAGATACTGCCATGTATGTCTCACAAATTTCTGTTGCAAGGTAGTTTCTACCTCCACTGGCCTGGATCTTTTCAGTGACTACAAAACACGCTCAAATACACCCCATTTAGAAATTTCATACAAACGCTCTCACTTCACTGCACTGGCTCCACGCCTAACATTATTTTTTTTACTCCCTGGACAGTAGAACTCCTCAGATATGTTTTCATTGTGCTGCAACCATTTCATGCATCTCACTCATTCTGCAGAGTCACCTAATGGTACTTCCATGTCATCACTTAATTGTTAACTATGGCCCCTGTAGTGCAGATTCAAGCATCCTTATTTATAT